TTGTCAAACTTTCTTACAAAAACAAGTTAAGAAAAATACCAAAAAAGAACCTCACAACACTCTCACATGTATACCAACCCTCAAAGAAATTTAGGTCACCTGTGTTTCCACTCATTTTTTTTCTTCACAAATTTTAAAGAGAGAAGCCAAGATTGTTTGCAATCCAATGGATAATAGCATTCTTTTAACACAAACAAGCAAACTAGGCTTAAGAAATAAATCAAAACTCAAACAAGATGCTTAAGCATGTGATCATGTAGCCAAAGTTCATTTATGATGAACTCAATGAACTCTAAGACAGTTAAGTTTCATTAAAATGTAGCCATTCAAACATGACTAGATTAATATTACTTGTGAAGTGATTCAAATCTTAAACAAGTTTGAGATATTTGAATAACAAGATAATTTGGTTCTTACTTTCCTTGAATTGATTTTTTAAATTTGTATAAGGAGGTGCTAATTTGTTTGATTCAAGAGTTCTTGCTTCAATAAGAGCTCGTATCATTAGACTGAGAATTATGGTCACCTTATCATTTAGTATCAGAGTTTCTTTGTAATCTTGGATTTCAATTTGATTTGAGAGTTTTTAGCATTTTCGATCTAAGAGTTTGTATAACCATAAGGGTTCTTAGATCCAATTAACTAGAGTTTTCATAAGAATCTTTTTCCTGGTCGATTCCCCAGACAAACCTCATTGAGTCTCAAAAATATTTAAAACAATCATTTTGAAATGCACGACTAGGAACACTCCTGAAAAAGGCCCTCGTAGAGGACCTCATTTCAAAGAAGTGAGACACACTGGTTTATTTAAATTTTTTATAAAGATACTGAAAAACATATCTCAAACGCTCTCTTACAAAATCTCTAGTTTATAAAACTTTTCATTATTTTATTATTCATTCATGCTTTACTTTTTCACGTCTAAATAATTTATTGATGCTTCATACATAAGAAGGAAAGGACTAGGAATCTTAGGGATTTTAATCCTATTAATCTATACCAGCGTGAATATAATCATTTCCAAGGTGTTATCTAACAGGCTGAGAAAGGTTCTTCCTAAGACAAGTCAAATTCCCAAGGTGGTTTCAGCTAGCAAGCAAATCATAGACTAAACCCTCATTGCAAATGAGGCCTTTGAGGATTATAGAGCCTGCAAGCAGGAGGGAGTTAGAATAGTTGAATACTCCAACCTCATTAATAATAAATCGAAGTGACCTGCTGTCTCCTTTTCTTTTCTTGCTAGTTGTGGATAATTCTCAGCAGAATTGTATCAAAGGGGGTGGGGGTGGAGGGTAATATTCACGAGGGTTTCGAGGTAGGGAAGGATAAGTTAGCATGATCTCATCTTTAGTTCGTTGATGATACTATCAAAGTAGGATGGGATACCTACTTCCGGGACCATAGGTGGTTTATGGATAGACCCTTTTGCCCTATGTTTTCCTATTTGAATTGTTTGAGTGGAAACCAACAGCTATTCTGGCTCTTTTATCTTTAATTGGAGAGTTTCGCTCTGGCTCTGAGAGAAGTGACGTTCGTCTTTGGTGTCTTAGTACATCCAAAGGCTTTCCCTACAGTTCCTTATCTTATGATTTGATTATTCCCTCCCCATCTAGCGGTTCTGTCTTTACCTCATTGTGGAAGGTAAAAATTTCCAAGGGGTATGGCTCCAGCTTTGTCAAGTCAAATCTCAGGATTGGAGAGAGGCAATTGAGGAAATTCCTTTTCACTCACCCCTCCATGAGGAAGGGAGGCTTTTGTGATGAATACAGATTTGTGTCATCTCGTGAAAGAATCTAGCGCAATATCAGCGCTTAACGTGCAGGTAGACACAGAGGTGATCTACCCTATTTCTGACAGCAACTGTGCGAGTCCAATTCAATGCTTCCCCAAGAAAGGAAGCAAGACGGTCGTAGCCAACGCTAAGAATGAACTAATTCCTACTCGCAGTCACTGACTGGTGTATGGACTACTGCAAGCTAAGTGTGGAAACCAAGAAAGACCATTTCCCCCTCCTTTGATCGATCTAATGTTGAATCGCTTGACGAGGAAAGCTTGCTATTGCTTTATGGATGGATATTCCGAATACAACTAGATCACTACTGCGCCAAAGGCCCAGGAGAAGACAACCTTCACATGCCCATATAGGACATATACATCCAAAAGAATGTCGTTCGACCTTCCCAACACACCAAGAACATTTCAGACAATCTTCACAGATTTGTTGGAGAAGTCATGGATGTGTTTCTTGTTATAGATTGAGTCATTCCACAATCTAACTTGATTTAAGTTGGATTGAATGGCTCGAATGCAAACTATCATAAGAATAACACGGGAACTTAGAGATATCAAAGATTCATGCACGAATTTCTAAGAAAATATCTCAATCTCGAGAGACAATTTCCTTTATCCATAATCTCCCTTACATGCTTAGTTCAAGGCTTTTTATAGCCATTCAACAAAAGAAGCTCTCAACCCTTCGAATTCCTAAGCATTTACAACTAATGGCCATATTTGGCAACTTTGAGAACTCCCATCAATTACAAAACTAAGGCTCATGATTAACAACTTTGGTAACTCTCTTAAGCTAAACATAAAATTGCTAACCCAAAAATACAAAATTTCAATTCACAAGTTTATGAAACTTCATTAATTGAACTCTTCAAAGAACATGTCATTTCAAGTGAATTTAACAGAAATTCCATGGTCAACTTCAATCTTGCATACATTAACCACATGAAATAGAATTGAACCGAGCCTATCTAATTTTGAAGGTGAAGAACCAACGTTTGTTGAATCTTTTAGTTTTGGATCTTGTAATACGACTAGTTAAAACTGATAGAACACCATGATCCTTATCAGTATCGATAACAAGAAACTTAAATTTCTTACCGAAATTGTGGACAGTCTGAAACCTCAAATTTAAAGAATAAACAAAGATTTCTATCTACTTATTGGTTGAATTTGACAGAATGATGAGAAAGTAACCCTTTGAGGAAAAAAAAACTTAGAGCATAGAATATATATACACACATATATCCAACAAGGGTCAGTTTTGGCCAAAAACTAAACCAATAATATATAGATCAGCTAAAAGAAGAAAAGTCTTAAAAAAAGGTACAAATACATTAACAAGCAAAGTCTTAGAGCTAACCGTTCGTCGGGTTAAGAAAAGCTTCCAAAATCCCAGCATCAGAATCACCAGCAAGCGATATAAACAATTCAATTTCAGAAGCATAGCTCTCGCTTGTACCGTAGCCTGCCATTGGTACCCTCTGTTCTTGTTCGTTCAGATTTTGTTATCAAATCGGAAGATACTTAACAGAGTAAGCCAACATCTGATTCGGCTATGGATTGCGTGGCCATGACTGTAATCGAATAAGCTCTATTGGTGGATTTGGGAGGGGTGAAACGGTGAAGGGTAGTGATGTACGACGCTCCTAGAGTCCTGGACAGTGCCATCCCATCAGGGTTTCTCGAGATGGGCAAGGATGGAAAAATCTTATCCGTTTTGATTTGATTTTTGAAAATATTTATAGAAAATGAATAATACCTCAATGAAAAAACAGTGCTAGTGGGTTTAACTTTACAAAATTTAAAAAGAATTTATATTTGATTCTTTTATTTTTTCAATCTAAAAAATTCAACGTGGTTGATGAAACTCACAGCCCAACTGAGTTTGAACAATTTGAGCTAAGCTCTCTTTTAAGTATATTAGATGAAACAAGCGGAACGGAAGTCTTGGTTCGAATGTTTCACGGAGAAAATAACTGGTAAATAAATCATATCGATTAGAAATTGGTTTAAAAAAAAAGTTCTCTTGGACCTTAGAAGAGCTATCTTCTCCCACGTGGAAAAGAAACACTCAAAACAAGCATAACTTCAAACAAAATGAAATCAGTCTCTATTATCAAAGAGGCATTATCCACCGCATCACTAGCACAATTTGTTGAAAAATCTATGCCCACCGCCCAAGTGCTAGTCGAACCGCTAATCTTCAATAACCCTTTTATCGAGAAAGCACGAGTAGACGATGATAACTCAACACGAGGATAGGAATAGGAATGAGGCTTTAAAATGATAAGAAGCTTGCAAAAGGAAACAATGAGCAAAACCTAACGAAGGGATGTGGGAACTTTCTCACCAACATGGGAATGGTTGCATATTTGGATTGATCAATTCACGGGAGAGAACACGAGGGATGAGGATGATCGACCTACCTCAAATTTGCACTTTAGCAAAAAGGAGGAGACAGAAGGTGAAATCATCTTAAAACACCAACCATTAGAAGTGGGCATCCCTAACCAATATCATCACAAAAGGATTGGAAACTAAGCTAATGTCCACGGAAATAAGGTAGAAACAATTGTGCCCACATCTAGGCCTCAATATGAAGATAGTGACTAAGAAAGACTTAAAAGAAACGAAAGTTACTATCTATACCAACAATGTGTACATTTTTTACACGGACTCAATTGTAATAACTCCAAAATTAAACGTGCTTCTACGTTGCATAACCTCTTGAAAATTTTCCTAAGAAACATGTGAACGAGAACAAAACATGTTGAAAAGGTATGTATTGAGTTAGTCTGTAAAGATAGTCAATCTCTTAGAAACAAGAAGTAAAGTGATTATGTCCATAGGGATACAAGAAAATATCGGAGCACACAAATGCTAAATCCATACTCCAAATCTTAACCAAAATCCCGAGTACGAAACGTTACACAATAATAACAACTAGCTACGATCAAGAAATAAAAATATCAAACTAAGTTGAAATTAACTCACTAAACAGTATACAAATCATAAAGACATGGATTTAAACAACAAATCATTGAGGGAACTATAAGACCAAAAGGAGGAATTCATTTTTCTAGCTAAGAACAATGGATATGAAGAAGTTGCAAAGGTTGGATCATGATAAAATGGTAAAATTGGCTATCATTTGCAGAACAAAAAGACTGATATTAACATCTCAATCGAACAGAGAAAGAACAAGAAAGAAGAACAAAACGCGTAATTAAATGTGTACCACATACAGTAAACTCGTAGCACCGGTAGCATCGATGGTGCTGCCAATTAGTGTACAAGGAAGAAAAGCAGGCCTTTGCAGCCTACCATTTTCGATAACTCGAATTCGTATCGAGGAAAACAATATTTGTAATCCTTTTATATTTCACCTTACAATTTTTTCGTTTTTCGATTTGTTTTTGTTTTTTACAATTTTCAACATTCTGAGTTTAGAATCAAATGATCGATCAATGATCCTACAGTTTCCTCCAGAAGATAAAACTTCCAAATTTTTGTAAACTCAACTGGCTGCAAGAGACCTCCTTTTAAGTGCCTGACCAAATCATGATTTTGTACCAAGAAAGGACTGCAAAATACGAAAAGATCAAACGAAAAATAGCAAGTCAAAATGGCACGAGTAAGAAGAAAGTTCTTAAGCATGTAAATGCCAAGGACCGTGTGATAGATGTTAGGAATCACGGGATCTCCACAATGGTATGATATTGTCCACTTTGAGCATAAGCTCTCATGGCTTTGTTATTGGTTCCCTAAAAGGTCTCGTACCAATGAAGATATATTCCTTACTTATAAACCCGTGATCATTCCTTAAATTAGCCAACGTGGGATTCCCTCCCAACAATTCTCAACAATCCTCCCCTCGAACAAAGTACAACATAGAGTCTCCCCTGAGGCCTATGGAGCCGAAACAGCCTCCCCTTAATCAAGGTCCGACTCCTTCTTTGGAGCCCTCGAACAAAGTACACCATTTGTTCGACACTTTAGTCACTTTTGACTACACCTTCGAGGCTCATAGTTCTTTGTTCGACATTTGAAGATTCTATTGACATGGCTAAGTTTAGGGCATGGCTCTAATACCATGTTAGGAAATACGGATCTCCACAATGGTATGATATTGTCCACTATGAGCATAAGCTCTCGTGGTTTTGCTTTGGACTTTTCCAAAAGGCCTCAACCAAGGGAGATGTATTCCTTACTTATAAACCTATCATCATTCGCTAAATTAGTCAATGTAGAACTCCCTCCCAATAATCCTCAACAATAGAAACTCTTCTAAATGGATTGTCGAGAAACTAGAAGATCTGAACCCGTTCTTGATAAACCGATGGCAAGAAGGGTAGGCGGTCACAAGGAGATCTAAACCCATTCTCCCAAGAATCCTTTCTACTATTTCATCCGACCAAAAACGACTAAAGCTAACTCTAGGCGGGTACGAACATTTTATGTTGAAAAACTAAACAACCTCGAAAAGAATACTTTTTCTTGAATATTGTGTTTACCTTAACCCCTGGGGGAGGATTTCCAGGCTTTGAGGTGGTAGTGCTTCCAAAGTTCAGCTCAGGCTTCTTATACGCAGGCTTTAGTATTTGAAACGAACACATAAGCGTCTCGTCCACACTCATCATGGCACCAGCGTTATCGAACTCCCCACAGTAATTCGGTGCTGAAAAAATCGTTACAAGTTGACGATCTGCGAAGAACTCGTATCCATCCTCCACAACCTATAAAAGTAGTTGCTAGTTAAAAGCTCGAAAAGAACAGTATGAGACGAAGCTAGTAGTAACTATTGCAGTCTCCAATCGATAAAGAGTTTACGAGAAATCAAATTTGCTATAAACTAGACTAAAATGACCCCTGCACGAGTCACGTTAAAGTTATTTGACTGAGATTTCAATCATTCTACAAAGGTGGTTTGCAGCAAGTAGAATCAGTTTTCGTGATTTTAAAGACTCGAAAAATGAAACAAGAAAAACCTGATGAGCACGACAAATGAGATCCAAATCATGCTTTTGAAGAAACTCCGTGACCTTGTCAGCACCAAAAGTAAACGAAACACCGCGGTCGTTCATTCCCCAACCTTGAACATCCTTACTCGGATCAGACCAGAGAAGATCACAGAGCAAACCAGTGTCCGGTACATCTGTTGGTCTCGACATGTTTCTAATTTGATCCAAATTATTCAGGTCAGGAGACAAACCTCCATGCATGCAGAGAATCTTTTCATCAATAAGAGCTGCCACAGGCAGGCAGTTAAAGCAATCGGTAAACGTCTTCCATAAACGAACATTAAATCTTCTTTTACACTCGTCATAGAAGCCATATATTCGGTTTATAGAAGCACATTCATGGTTCCCTCTCAATATGAAGAAATTCTCTGGATATTTTATTTTATACGCCAAGAGAAGACATATGGTTTCGAGACTTTGCTTGCCTCGATCGACATAATCACCCAAAAATAAGTAGTTAGCATGAGGGGGTAACCCACCGTATTCGAATAGCCTTAATAGATCAGAATATTGCCCATGTATGTCACCTACACATCACAAATAGAACAACATTAGCAGGACCAACCATTATTGAAGACAAATATAAGCCATTGTCAGTATCTCTAGCTTATCCTTTCGAGCCACTAAAGTTCGACTTCGTTGCACGAAAACAAGATATTTCTGAACAAGCGACCATTTTTCAGTCGAACATGCAATTTGTTGAATTCGAGTATTTACGAGCAATATTTATTATAGCAAATCAATCATAGGTTTATTATACACCATATAATTGCTACCTAACTAGAAACAACCAAAACCTGAAAGAACAGGACAGAAGAACTAAGAAGAACTGATAACTACACAATGTTCGAAGTACACAGAAGTGACGGTCGAGGACCAAGTTTGGCACCTGGACACTAATTTTCTGGAGGCGTTCATTTTTACGAAAAAAACTGAAGAAAATGAAAGAAGCAAACGAGAAAAATAACCAAAACAAGCCATATATATTTTTGGTAAGAAACCGAACTTTGATTAAAAAAAATGAAAGAATACAAAGGCGAACAAAAACAAGCCCAAAAAAAAGATGCCATGGAAAAACGCTACTTCGTTATAGAAACCTATAAGGAGGCACTTAACATAGCCAAGACTCGATCTTCCTCCTAAGAACTCTCTACATCTCTAAAAAATCCCCTATGTTTCTCAAGCCTAACGATCCATGAGACGGAAAAATAAGCAACTTGCCAAAGAGGAGCGACACTTGTCCGAGCTGGAGGTGAATAACACGTGAATAATAGACTAATAAAACCAGCTACAAGCCATTTGCACTTCAAAAGCCTCTAAAAATTGTCTCAAACCATTATACGTTAGGGACCAAATGCTCTAATACCATGTCAAATCATCACTGAACCCAAGAGTTTAAGCGGATGAATTACAATAAACTTAATCATATTAATTTTTGAAGGAATAACATTGATTTAAGAGATATTTGTGTAATCTCATTAAATAAATGAAGCAAATGACCTTTGTTATCTAGTATCTAAAAGTTTTATTTAGATTTATTATTATCTAGTATCCAAGGATTTAGTTAGCCTTTCTATATTATAAAAGGCACATGTACCTGTTTGAAATTTAATATGAGGTGTTTTCCATTACCAAACAATCTTCCCAGAAACAAATCAACAGATCATCCAAAACATCGAGAAGCTAGAGAAAGTTGCGTACCCAAAAGCGGTGGACACCCCGTGACTCATGAAACTTCCTTCGCCCCTACGACTTGTAACGCAATCATAAGAACAAACCATACTTGCTCTCAATGATCCTATATTATGCGCTCGAAGTTTCAATTTCTAAACGGAATCATCATAAGCATTCTCCAAGAAGGCCTCGCTACGAAGTTTCAAATTCCTCCTATCTAGAGCCTAATGAGGTTGAATCTCACATACATTTTCACCTAACAAAATGATATGCCACAAAGTTTCAAATCTAAAATGATATGGACAACCCCTCCTCTCGAGATTTCTCACACTTCAAAGTTCCCCCTAGCTCCCTCATTAGCCGAGCAGAACAGAGGATTATATCATTTCCAAATCAAAGACCACCTACACGAAACCCTAGATTAAATAAATCCTCATAATTGACAGAAAATTCACAACTACCAAGAAGAAAGGGGGATAAAGGATCTTATTTAACACTCCTGCAGGCAAAAATTCTACCCAAAGGCTTACCAATAATAAAGGTGGAGAAGTTAGCCGAAGGAAGGGAATTCCAAATTCAAGATCTCCATGTGAACTCAAAAACCTTTCTTCATAATACTTAACAGGTCTTCTACACATCTCCTAGATTGTTCTATATAGACATTGATGTCCTATCCCCAAAAAAAAAAGATACTGAAGTCTTAGTCACTTGTAAAAATAAATCTTAGGTAACAATAATTCTAAATATATCTCTAGATACTAGGTAAAAATAAATTAAAATAAATGTGCCTTTTATAATAGAACTAACTAAATCTTAGTCACTTGTTGTGGTTTGCTTGTTCCCGTGCTATTTACCGAGGTCCTTGAAGAGAAAGAAACATCATGATTTTTTTAGGGATTGACATGACACACCTTGGGGGAGGTGTGGTGCCTAAGTCTCAATACATATGTATGTGCATGTGCCCGAGATTAATGGAATAGTAAGTTTGTAACAACGATTTGGGGGATGAATCTATGGAGATTTTAGAGATTCAATTGGCTTGTAATAGGTCGTGCAGGGTTGCTTTTGGAAGACAGTTTTCTTTGCTTCTTCTTGGAGTATTTAGCTGGAGAGAAATAGGAGTATTTAGCAATAAAATAAAGTTCTTGGTAGAAGGTTTGGGCTTTGATTAGATAAATGCCTCCTTTTAGTCTTCCTTCACAAATGCCTTTGGCAATTACCCTCTATCTCTCATCTTTCTTTAATTGATGCCCATTTTTAGAAATTTCTTGTATTTTTTCCGTTCTTTTTTGTTCTCAATGCTCCTTTGGATCAAGTGGCATGGTCCTTTTTGTTTTTCTCTTTCGTATTCTTTCATTCGTTCTCAACGAAAGTCATTCTTTCATTTGTTTGTAAAAGATACCATAAATCTTGATAGACCTAGACACCACATTACACTTGTGAGGACGCATTTGTAAAATGCCTTCGGCTCAAGTGCTAACCGGAAAAGAATCAAAAACTCATACAATAGTGTAAAACCAAATATCTAAGTGATTTGTTAGTAAGAAGTCTTTACCAAGGCATTGGCATGTTCAATGATCATTTTTCAAGGCATTGGCATGTTCAATGATCATTTTTCAAGGCATTGGCATGTTTAATGATTATGTTCAAGGCAAATATCTAAGTGATTTGTTAGTAAGCACTCCTGCCACAATGTTTGCAAGGCATTGGCATGTTGAATGATTATTTTTCTTTCTTGCATCATAGCTCCAGTCTTGATCTTAATTTCATAGATCTAAGCAGCATCTTTAGCCTTGGAGTAAGTGCGATGATTGAAATCTCATATGGCTTGTGCGTTTTGTAAAAACATACATGTATCACCAATGGATGTATCTATAGAATCCCAAAACCATGACATTATCATATAATCTTCCTCGTCCCATGTAGTAAATCTAGGATCCTCTTTGTTGATCTTGGTCCAATGAGGTGTCGGAGTGTTCCCTTTCCTTTAAGGTACGTCCGCACCATTTGGGACTTGTGTTGCCAATGGGCTCGAGTATTTGTGGGCTTGCATATAAAATTGGATTATGATATGAAAGCTTAAGATATGAAAGAGTGGGCTAACGAAGACGAAAACAAAAACTTGCCGAATAGGAAATGAATACTTGATGCAGATAGATATGGCGTCTTAGATGAGCTTGGGGAGGAGATAAAAGTTTGACTAATGGGATGTGGTTGGGCAGTGGAATCCTTGACTAATGGTATCAAGGATTTGAAAATTTGTTGGGAGGTGGCTTCTTATTTGCAATAAGTTTTTGCGGCAAAGGATTTGTGGACTTGCTGGATTCTTCTTTTGATGTCTTCCTTCCCTTTTTTCCCCCCCTTGCTATGTGGGATTCCAAATAAGCACACTAAATGAAACTTAGTTATGATGACGACACCTATGAAGGCTTCGTATGAAACTTGATCACAATGGATGATCGGTAGCGATGAAGCCTTCACCGATTGGGTTAGGGTTTTGGTTCTGATCAAATTTTTCATAATAGAAAAGCTCTGATACCATGTTGTAATAACTTGTTGTTTTTCTTATTTTCTTTTTGGAGAATTACGTGTCCGTTTTAATAGGGAGAAAGACAGACTAAATCTAAATAGATAGATAATCTAAATTTTCTAGATACTAGATAATCTAAATAAATTACTAGATAATACGTAATAAGATACGATAGACCTAAATAAATCTCTAGTTACTATGTAACTAAATCTAAATAAATCCAACAAGATAATTGTCAACCACTTTTAATATGGGATACACCAATATCTTTCGACACGCTCCCTCAAACTGAGTAATAGAAATAATTCATTCTCAAGTTGGATACTAACTCATGGATTACACAAATATTTCCTAACTTAAGGCTAATCCTTCGAAAATATCAAGTACAGTGTCTTCCAAAAAGCCACTAGCACCAAAAGGATAACATTAATGGTTGCAAGTACAAAAGTCGAGGGTTAGGAAGTCTTGAGAGTGGATAATCATGGCTAAGAAGTGCCAAATAGAGGGAAGTAACTCAGCACGAGAGAGGCAAGCAACGCTCGTGGAAGTTCTCCAAGAAAAGTGAGCACAAGAGAGGGAAGTAACTCAAGAAAATTGGTTGCTTGCCCATATAAGTGGGCCAAGAGAAGGGAGCACATGTATCCAAGTCATTTCCACATGCCTAAGTGGGCGGCTTCATAAGAAGTTGTCAAGACCAACATGTTCATGAAGGAGCTTCAAGCTGGATGTAAGAGACAAGAAGAGAGACAAGAGAAAAGTTGCAGGAAGACCAGAGTAAAGCTTTGTTGCAGCGTTTGCTACAAGAGGTGGCCAAGTTGAGAATTGGCCAAGAGAGATGTCAAAGTTAGGTTGGGGCAAGTGCCCCCAACCTGACCAAGAGGCATCAACGAGTCTCGGTGATCAAGTCCTAAGAACTAGGTACAAGTAGGTTTGTTGGTAGGATAACTCGTAGATAGGACGATAACTAGTTTAAGTGAGAGGAGAATGTCACAACCATACTATAAATAGAGTAAGTTATAACTCCCACGTGTAGACCAAGGAGGCTGGTGCATTATAACACACCAAGAAGAGTGGGTAAGATTGTCAAGCTAAGGTGTAAGCAAGATTATAAGCATTAGTGTCATCAAGGGTGGTAAAAACAAGCTTAATAGGGGCAGATGGGGGGCTCAAGTGATAAACTCAAGAGTTTGAGGTTGAAATGTAGGGTCGAGATCCAACACAATAAGTGGAAATGACTTGGCATGAACATGGAAGGGTCGTGCCTCAATAGTGCTCGAATGGATGGATGTCTAGGAGTCCCAAATATAAAGTTGACTCACAGGTCAATTCTTAATAAGCATGCTCGAGTGAGCTACGAAGGCTGATGACCTTCCGAGGCTTGAATGGCATCATGAAACATCGATAGGACACAAGAGTTCTAAGTTAGCATTAAACTGAGTCGATATGTCCCAACAAGCATTATAATGGCTCGTTAAGCTTCGATTTACATAGAAATGACCCAGTAAGCATTATAATTCCTCGATAGGTCCCAATAAGTGCTAAAATCACCTAATAAGCTTTAGTTGAGCATTTTAGGTCTGCTTGACCCAACAAAAGGTTCGAACACATCCCAGTGAAGTTACGAATCAATGTAGATGCATGTGGGTCGTATTGTTGAGAACCTAGATGATGAAATGAGATGTGATGTTGCATTTGAATGACTTTAACTTAAAGTAAAGGTAAGGTTGAGAAACTTAGGACTTAACCTAGAGTAAAAGCAAGTCGGCTATAATTGCAATTGAAGGAAAATACACACATAGATGACACATATGGTTGAATTCTGAGCTATTGCACAAGGACTATGTGAGATCTTATGGTTGAAGATAATCCTTGATGACTTACAAATTAAGAGAGAAGGCTCGTCAAAGTTGTACTGCAACAACAAAGCAGCCTAATATTGCTCATAATCTTATCCAACATGACAAAACAAAGCAAAATGAAATCGATTGGCACTTCATTAAGGATACATTAGAGAAGGACTCGTATGCATGAGTTATGTGCCCTCACCGCTTCAACTAGCAAATGTGCTAACAAAAGAACTTCACAGCTTACTGTTTCATGAGTTAGCATCCAAGCTAGGAATGAATCTATCTATTCATCAACTCGAGGGGGAGTTTCAAACGGATAATCTTAATTTGAGGAAGATTGACGTAATCCTATTTAACAAGGAATTAGCCTTTTAAGTATGTATCCTTTGATCAAGCCTTTTATTGGTGTTCTTTTCTGGATTTATGTTCATCTCAGAAGATGTTCTTGGTTTTGTTATTATTATTATTTTGCTTTATCTTCCTTGTGGAGTTGGTATATTTTGACCATCAATATCTTCTCATTTTTTCAATAAAAGTTTCGTTTCTTATTAAAAAACCACGAACGTTGCAATATTCTACGGATACATGTTTGTGTGTTTGCAATCTTCTGTCTGCATAAAGACCTCCTCAGGTTCATCAACTATAATCCACTTAACCAATGGGAAATATGAATGGGGGAAAGAAGGTTAATAATATATAACCACATCACACCAGTGTACAAGTCTATGTATTTGTGTCTGGCTGTCAGCATACATAAATAAAAGCCCGACAGGTTCAACAGCATGGGGCCAATTTGTAACAATCCAAGCCAACCGCTAGCAGATATCCTCTTTGGGTTTTCCCTTTCAGACTTTCACTCAAGGTTTTTAAAACACGTCAACCAGGGAGAGCTTTCCACACTCATACAAGAAATGCTTCATTCCTCTCTTCAACAATGTGGGATCTCACAATCCACTCTCCTTGGGGCTCAGCGTCCTCGCTGGCATACTGCCCAATGTCTGGCTCTGATACCGTTTGTAACAATCCAAGCTCACCGCTAATAGACATGGTCCTCTTTGGGCTTTCCTTTTCAGGCTTCCTCTCAAGGTTTTTAAAATGCGTGTACTTGAGAGAGGTTTTCACACTCTTACAAGAAATGCTTCGTTCCCCTCTCCAACCGACATGGGATCGCACAATCCACTCCCTTGGGGACCTAGCGTCCTCGCTGGCACACTGCCTGATGTCTGGCTCTATTACCATTTGTAACAGCCCAAGTCCACCACTAGCAAATATGGTCCTCTTTGGGCTTTCCCTCTCGAACTTCCCCTCAAGGTTTTTAAAACGCGTCTGCTAGGGAGAGGTTTCCACACCCTTATAAGAAATGTTTCGTTCCCCTCTCCAATCGACGTGGGATCTCAGAATTCAACCCCCTTGGGGAACCCAGCGTCCTCACTGGCACACTGTCCGGTGTCTGGCTCTGATACCATTTGTAACCGCCCAAGCCCACCACTAGCAGATATTGTCCTCTTTAGGCTTTCTCTTTCAAACTTCCACATAAGGTTTTTAAAATGCGTCTCCTAGGGAGAGGTTTCCACATCCTCATAAAAAATGCTTCATTCTCATCCTCCTCAACCGACGTGGGATCTCACACAACAAATCAAATGGATTTGATCATTAGAGACTAAAACTAAAAGAAGTTGACCAATTACTGCTACATAACAACAGAACAAAGAAAAACGAAGGAACCCAGCAAATCAAGTACTTCAAATATGTCAACCAAAACACCACTTAACCAAACAGAATTCAACAACTACGACTAAGAAAAGCTCCAAAATCATTTCACAATAACAACAAAACATGTCTACAAGAATTTCTACAAACAAAACCAAACATTAAATCTCAGAGATTGGCAAAGAAAGGAGGAAAACAAGTAGTATTGTAAGAAAAAGATACCACAAATCTTGATGGGTGCTTCAAGCTCCAACAAATTAGGCTGCTGCAAGAAAAACTCTCTGGAAACTTGACAGAGTTGTCGGATCTCAGACTCGGACAACTGAACCTGCTTGCCGACACGACCACGGACCTCGAGAAGACGATTGATAATATCGTCGAGAAGTGAAGGGTCCATTTGATAGTGTGAAGGGTGTCGAAAGAAAAGGGTCTAGTGGGTGTTGTTGAAATAGAGAAAGGGGAAAGAAAACAGGAAGTCGGAGTCGGAGTCGGAGGTGGTGGTGGTGGGGTTTAATAGCATGGTCGGCTGCCGCCGTCGTCCGCTGTGGGGTGGCTCAAGGATCAAAAGGGGGACTTTGGAGAGAGCTGACTTTGGAGGAAAAAGGTCCGCGACCAGTACCGATAGTAACCAAGATTGTCCAAAATTTTGAACCATTTACGCTAAATCGGTCAATGTTATGCTAATTACTCGCGTCCTTGGAAGAAAACAAAGCCAAAAAAAACACTCCTGTTTTAAAACACAACTCAATTGCCTTCTAGAACATGGTTTTCTCTACCTCTTTCAAAACTAAAATTATATCACATTCTTCTCTCTCTCTCCTCCATCATTCCAAATTTTTTCTTTAAATGATTCACATTTTTTGTTTGTTCTTATTCTCTCTCACCTCTCTCTCTCTCAACTTTCATGACTTTTCTTAAATACTCTAGGTTAGGATCGCATAACAACTCACACGCTCGATCTAAATGAACACAAAGTAGTAGAATACAAAGAATATAGAAAGTACACTTCCTAGCTATATATATGGTTTAGTTTAGTATATATAGTTCTACTTAATATAACCCTCCATTATATATAACTATCTACCATATATAGTTTTACTTTTTTTACTATACATACCTATTTACTATTTATTTTATGTCATTTACCAAATATAGCTTTATAATAGTATTAAGCTACAAATAAACAGCAGACTCCATAACCTAACACTCTCGTAGTCGTTCATACATAATATGTCTTTTTCGTGTAGCTCTTGAAAAGTTACGCAAATCTTTTTAAAAAAAAAAATCATCAAAATTGGCCAATTAAACTCAAAGTTACTGTTTGTTACAGTTTCTCGAAATTTAAATTTAGACCAGCCCAAACCCATCGCTAGCCGATATTTGTCTGATTTGGCCGTTACGTCGTCATCAGCCTCACAGCTTAAAAACATGTCTATTAGGGAGAGGTTTTCATACTCTTATAAGAAATGTTTCGTTCCCCTCTCCAACCGATGTGGGATCTCGCAATCCACCCCCTTGGAGCCTAGTGTTCTCGTTGGCACATCGCTCAGTGTCTGGCTCTATACCATTTGTAACAACTCAAGTCCACCGCTAGTAGATATTATCTGATTTGGCCAATTACGTCACTGTCAATCTCACAGTTTTAAAACCGTTAGGAAGAGGTTTTCATACTCTTAAATGCTTCATTCCCTTCTCCACTGGATGTGGGATCTCACAATTTCAACTTTCGGAACCTTTAAAATTTAGAGTCTTTAAAGTTTTGCTCATTTTATATACATGATTGGAAAGAAATGTTTAAAAATAAATGGTTAGTTAGGTCAAACGAACGTGTATCAATTGTTGTATTCTACGATCTTGAACCCTAGAACCGTGAGTGCAATACAAATCCATTTTAGCTAAAGGACCACTCATTTTTATATCATGCATACGAACGTATAAAAAAAATTAAGTATATTCATTTTTAAGAATTTCAGCTTAAATTTTGAGGAACCACAACTTTAAGCTCGGTGAGCTAAGTTCGATGGTTTTTTATTATTATTATTTTGTGTAATTTTTCAAGATCTACACACTAGAAGGTAGCTTATTCGATCAGGTTTGATCTCCAACCACGCAATCGTGAATTTAGAGAAAAAATAATAATTCAAGTCTCTCATTAGAAATCGTTTATGTATCTTAAACTATTATCATATACTATTTATTTGAAAAAAAAAAATATATTTTTTATAAGAGTATGGAAACCTCTCTTCAGTAGACACATTTTAAATACCTCGAGGGGAAATCCAAAAAGAAAGCCTAAAGAAGACAATATATGCTAGTGGTGGGTTTGAGTTGTTATAAATGATTGTCACATCACCATTAGACCATTCAAAAGAGACTGACAAGTTTGTCCAAACTCATGCTCAGCAAGGGCATATGTGTGTCATTAGAGCATTGGAAGAGATTGATAGGTCTGTACTGACTCGTACTCAAGCTAGGGCATATGTGTCCACCAACAGAGATACTGGAAGGTCCGACACCACGGTGATAGGTACACTACCAATTCTAGGTCATTACGCTTTTACAATATTTGATTATGGTTCAACACATTTTCATTTTGTTAAACAAGCAGGGTTCGAACTAGACCCCTTATTGCATGTATTGTCTGTAAGTACCCCTAGCATAGACCTGATAATAGTTATTAGGTACACTACCGATTCTAGGTAATTACACTTTCACAATATTTGATTCTAGTTCGATGTTTTTTCCTTTTGCTAAACAAGCAGGGTTCAAACTACAACCCTTATTGCATGTATTGACGATAAGTACCCTTCAAGTAGACTTAGTAGCTAAGGATAGAGTAAAAGATGACCAAGTAACCGTAGCTGATCGAACCCTAAGCGTAGACCTAACAGTAGTTAGTATGACATATTTCAATGTAATACTAGGTATGGACTGGTTAGCTAAACACCACGCTAGTATAAACTGCCATAAAAAAAATATAATAGTTTCCCCATTGTCGGGACCCAACTTTAAGTTTAAAGGTACCTGCATCGGAACTACCCCGAAGGTAGTCTCAATGATGAAAGCTAAGAGACTAGTTCAACAAGGGGTTGAGTTATATTAGCATGTGCAATAGATGTAAGAGGAAAAGAAAAGACGTTAGATACAGTACCAATGGTGAAGGAGTTTCAGGAAGACCTACCAGGAATATTCCCTTCCTGAGATGTAGATTTCGCATAAAACTCAAGCCAGGAACCGGGCTTATTTCCAAACCACCCTATCGCATGGCGCCAACAGAGCTAAAAGAACTCAAGACACGTTTTTAAAATCTTGAGAGAAAGCCCGAAAGAGAAAGTCTAAAGAGGACAATATTTACGGGTGATGAGTTTGAGCTGTTACAAATGGTATCAGAGCCAGACACCAAGAGATATGTCAATGAGGATGCTGGACCCCAAACAAGGATGGACACGAGGCAACGTACCAACAAGGATGTTGGGTCCCGAAGGGAGGTAGAAGCTTCAATTTTTCTTTGCTATCTCTACCTTTAGCTCTAGCTATGGCCCTTTGCTTAAACTTTTCTAATCGAACTCTACATCATCTCCTCAAAGCTTAGCCCAACAATCTCAATCGTTTTATGAAGCTTCAATAAGATTAATCTTAGGATACAATAACAATGGTGATAATGAAACAAGAAATCTTAATGTAAACCTTAACCTGAACTTTCGATTACCGACAATCAGAACAAGAAATCTTAACTTGAACCTTCGATTAACCCAATGATACTAACAACGTATACACTCCCACAAGAACAACATTCAATCCTCTAAATAATCTTAACCTTCAAACAAACTTAGAGAACCCATCTAATAGATTTTGTTCAAAGAGTTGTTTAAGGATGAGAAATCGTTTGTTTAAGAATATTTAAGCAAAGAGTTGTACAACTTAAAAATGAGAAATCGGTTGTAATAACTCATTTGGGCCGTTGAAAAAGTGTTAGCCGGTGAAAATTTCCGATTCGAAGAGAAGAGACGGCGATGAACAATTGAAATCCATAAGGCGAGCACAAGAACGCACGGTGATTGATGAGGGATGCGAGAGATGGCGAGAAATTAGAGAAATAGGGTTCATCGAAGGGGAATAAAGCCTTGGCGCAATAGAAGTTTTCTGGTGCAGATCTAAAAGATGTCTCAGTTTTACAGTTCTTCAATGGCTTTACTTCTGATTCTGATTCTGATTCTGTGCCTCGGTTACTTGGGCAACTCTATGGCTTACGGTTCTCCTTCCGAGACAACTATGCATACCAATAACTGGGCAGTTTTAGTCTGTACCTCTCGCTACTGGTTCGTCCGATTCCATTCCAACTTTTTTGCATTTGCGTTCTCGTGAATTGATAATGGTTCGACTTCCTGGTAGTCGAGATTGTCTAATTTATGTCGTAAAGAAATTCTATGTTCGATTTCTTGGATGGATTCTTCACGATGGCTGTTCATTTGAGTTAGCTTCAACACATTTTAGATTTGTTTCATTTGTGAAGTTATTACTTTTTGGAGAATAGATTCTCATGTGAAATAAATTGCCTCAAGTTCTTGTATAGGCTGTACAGTTTTTGATGATTATTTCAGTAAGTTGTTCACATTCAAAAACGATTGTAATCTTGTTACAACATCTTCAATAAGCTGTGGATGTGGTTTTTCAGGTTCAATTATCGGCACATGGCTAATACGCTGTCCTTGTACAGGTAAGACGATAGCTTTGACGATCTATTTTCTTCGTAGGATCTAGCTAGGCGTTTTTGAATTAGTTTCGTTTTTTGCTTTTGTTTTAGGACTGTAAAACGGCTAGGAATACCTGATGAGAGGATTATACTTATGTTGGCGGACGACATAGCCTGCAATCCTCGAAACAAATACCCTGCAAAAGTGTTCAACAATGAAAATCACAAAATCAACTTGTATGGAGATAATGTTGAGGTTGGCTTCTCTGAACACTGTTTTTTCTATCCAAAAGGACATAATGTCTAGCTGTGTTCGTTTTAGTGATGGATCTTGTTTGCACCTGACTAACAATTTCATTATCTTGGTATTTCAAACTGTTCAAATTCTTAGCAATTTTCTTAAATATAGCTATCAAATATAATCTGATGCCATCGCCATGGGATTTGGGGTTGTTAGTTAAAATTAATATCATGACCTTTTGGATACCTGATAGAATATCAATGGAACTATGCTGTTTCCTGACGCCAGTTGCATTTTCTATGGCTTCCTCCATTTGGGTTCTAGGACTTTATTTCATTGTACTGATTATATGATTACATTGATTTTTAATTAGTTTTTTTATGATTATTTTATTATTTTCTTAATGCAAAATATAAGATCAATCGTCTATGAAAATCAGGGCTTTATTTGTGTTTATACGAAAATCAATCTTCGAAAGAAATTGTAAAATGAACAGAATTATACTTTACATCACATGTTAATCTTCTGCAAATGCTGTTGTTTGTTTTGTCGAATAAATCTTTTATTCTTTAAGAACTTCCCACCTTTTTTCTGCACCTATATCATTGAGAACCCATTTTATTTTTAATATGATTATTCTTGTTAGTCATAGTTCAAGACATTCAGTGAGTCATGATTTCTTGAAACAATTTATTGTCTTGGCTACACTTAGGTTGATTATCGAGGTTATGAGGTCACAGTTGAAAATTTCTTAAGGGTATTGGCTGGACGCCATGAGGTTGCTGTTCCAAGATCAAAACGCTTATTAAGTGACGAAGGAAGCCACATTCTTCTATACATGACAGGACATGGGGGAGATGAATTTTTGAAGTTCCAGGACTCTGAAGAACTCCAGAGTCATGATTTAGCTGATGCTGTGAAACAAATGAAAGAAAAACATAGGTGGGAATGTTTTTTGCATCGGCTTACAGCACCAATGCTGATTGGATTCGTTTATACTAAAGTAAAACATTAGTATAAAATTGGTTAGTGTTCTTTAAGTTTCTCAATATCAAATTTGGTAGGTTTAGATGGTTGTTGCTTATGATTAGCGCGAGTACATAAAAATTGGTTAAAAGCTAACAATTCTGAATAAAATGAATCAGAGTTCAACTCTTGGAACCTAATGACCATTGACAGCCATCTGTTCTGCAGATTTATTGGAAACTAAATTTCTTTCTTCTTTACCATGAATTTTTATTTTCTTTCTTCTTTAATACGAATTTTTATTTTCTTTCTTCTTTAATACGAATTTTTATTTTCTTTCTTCTTTACTACGAATTTTTATTTTCTCACTTCATATACACCTTGCTGTCATTAATATCGGTGGCAATATTATACTGATAGATTTAAGGAGCTGCTAATAATGGTTGATACTTGTCAAGCTGCTACTCTCTTCAATCAGGTTTGCAGTTACTCCCTAGTCTCTCAATTTAGTTAGATTTAGGTTTAATTAGAGAGTTAAACCAACATTTGGTCATAAATTTGCTTATCCTGCATTGTGACTTTCTTTCATTTTTGTGGGCTATATAAACCAAACCACACATTAATCTAGGACATAAAAAGAATACAAGAGTTTCATTCTCGACAGTTTTTATGGGTATATTGCTAATTTTACTACCAAGTTTAGCTTTCTTCGGAAAACCATTATCTACATTCTGCATTTTATTTATTGTCGAATTATACAGTTTGTGAATGAATGAAATTGGAGCATCTGATGAAGTCAAAAGCTCACAAGGAAAATAAATGTTGTAGCATGGTTTATAAATTGGAACAAAGAAACGACTGAATTTTTAATTAACCAATGAAAACATTTGGGGGATGGGGTGGCTAATAAACTTTGTGGATGTAAACCTGTAACAATTTTCAATACTGAAGTAGAGGTCCTTACTTTATGCAGCTTCATTCCCCAGGTGTTTTAGCCATTGGAAGTAGTAAGAAAGGAGAGAACTCATATTCACATCACTTGGACCCTGATGTAAGTGTGCCCTGATATCATTGTATATATTGCATACTCGGTTTCGTTTTTACCATATATTTTTGTTGCCTTAGATTGTATTTATTTTTATCTTCATCTTCATTAACAGGTTGGTGTTTCTGTTGTTGACCGTTTCACATATTACACACTAGCCTTCTTTGAGAGATTAAATATGTATGATAATACTTCATTAATCAGGTTAGTCTGATCTTTTCGCCTTTCTCTAAACTGTTCTAATCATTATCACCTTTAGGTCCTAATTGTGCCAAAATTTAGGAATGTCTATTTCTTTCCTTGTATTTCCATTATAATCAACAGCTTCATATATAAAGTTGCAATATAGGTTCGATTTCTCTTTTCATGCCTTATTCTGTGACTTTTATTAGAGAACAAAATCATGAGGCATTTTTTCTCCTCTTCAATTGAGGGGAGGCTTAGGTAATGTGTAAACAATTTGATAGAAAGTTGATATGGATCCACCAGTAACAGTGAGTTTACATTGTTTAAGGCAGCAGATTGACTTTGTGTCAATTTCTTATAGTTAATCTTCCTACCTATTTTATGTACACATTTGTGGCTGGCAGCACGCGCCTTTTGGCGTGCTTCAGCATCTGCGTGCTCCTGGCATCGGCCTGTGGGCTCCCCATTTGATTTGTCTTGAAACACGAACTTAGGAGTCTGACATGTGTGCAAGTTAACGGATGCGTAAACTCGTGAAGCGCAAGGAAGCTGACTGGTGGGATCCCTTTGTGGGTTGCACCACCGACCGGCCTTGATTTTTTGAAAAGGGTTTGAGTGTGAGCATGCCTGTTCGGACTCGAAAGATGGTGAACTAATCCTGAATGGAGCAAAGCCAAAAGAAACTCTGGTGGAGGCCCGCAGCGATACTGACGTGCAAATTGTTTGTCTGACTTGGGTATAGGGGCGAAAGACTAATCGAACCGTCTAGTAGCTGGTTCCCTCCAATTTTTCCTTCAGGATAGCTGGAGCCCACGGGCGAGTTCTATTGAGTTTCTCTTTTCTTTTCTACTATTTTAGCAGAAAGTTGTAGAAATCAGTGCTACATGTTTTTGGGTCCTCGAGAAAAGTTCCATTTCATGATGAAATATCCAATTTGACCCTTTCAAAGATAATTAAAGAAATAAGATCTAAGCTTGAGTTTAGAGTAACAATATATTATTTAGAGGGGTTGCGAGGTCTAAGGAAGAGATGTAGGCCTTGTTAAGTTCCATGTCTCTTTGAGTATCAATGGTTATGGCTTTTGTAATTATCCTATTGCTCTTATTTTGCTTGATTGGAACACTTTTTTGTCTTAGTTTGACCCCTTTTGGTGGAAATTTGCAGTCTTTTCAGTTCATATAATCCAAGTTTGTTGATGTCAACTGCATATTATAGAACCGATCTATACCAACATAAACTGGAGGAGGTACGAAAGTTTTTCCGTCCGAAGTATTTGATTGTCATTCTCACAGTTGATCTGCTGCGTTGTGGTCACGAGTAGGTACTAACTTACCTCTTTCTCCTCTCTCTAGGTTCCTGTGACGAACTTCTTCGGCTCAGTGATGGAAACAGTTCATACCGATTCAGCTTACAAGATTGTCCCGAGAAAGGACTTGAACAAGGCAGAACCCGAATTACATCAATTGTCACACCACAATGAAAGAACGTTAATTACTTCAGATAATCCAGATAGATCAAGTAAACCAAGCTCAAGGGTATCTTTCTATTTTTTACCTTTCAACTTCCGAAAAACGTCTTCTATGCTAAAGATTGCTAAGAGAGGGTAAATGGCACGGAATGCAGGATGAACGTGGCGGTTTAACAAGTGTATGGAGAAGTTTGCATAATAAGATGGAAGAGATTGAAGATGGTGATACTTTTGTGAACTATGGGTTGGTCATTATTCTTCCATTCTTAGGGATCTCCATGTGGTTATCAAGGTGAAGAAGCTGCTTCCTATTTACCTGTTTATCGGGTTTTTCTACACTCATCTCGACCCTTTGCTATGTGTTGAATATGTTCTAAAGCTTTTCATGTTCTGAACTTTTATTTGTGGGGAGAGATCAAAATGATGCCTCTAGCGGCTAATGAGTTGATGATAGAGTTGTAGTAATTTCTTTTATGGTTTTTGGTTTAGGATGTGGTATTTTGTTAGTATTCCCTTTGTTGTTCATGTTAGACTTAGGCTATTTCCAACCTAACATTTCTTTGTTCGTCTCCTACTCTTCTCTCCTCTAACTCACCATTGTACGTTAAAATTTTGAGAATATAAAATAAACATTGGATAGAAATCATTAAAATTTGTTTCGAAAAATAGCTATCCTTCCATCGAAAGGAGCTCTGTGAAGCCAGCCTGACATAGTTTCCTCCACCTCTAAGGGTCGTGGACTACACTAGGCCTTCACTCAAAGCCCACGACCCAACTCCCTACTTAGAATGGATAGGCTAGATAACAACTCAAATGACTGGTATCCAATTGCTTGAGCCAACCTCCAACCACTTTGTTGCCCCCATATGGGTTACAAGCTCGACGATTCCCTTATTACAGTGGCTACTTTATAAACACTACAAATTATTTCTTGTTGTCTCATCCAAAGATCCTATATTGATCGGAGTTCTCTTTGCAACCCCTAAGACAGGTATGGTTACTGAATTGACAGCTTGCATTTGTCCTGTATTTTGATTTCTTAGAATGTTCAAGCGTTTCGTTTCGGTCTCTGTCATGAAGTTGCAAACGGCTTCATTGTTGACTATAGTGTTTTTGGTCCTTCTATGGTTGACCTAGGCCCCAGCATGCATTAGACTGCGTTCCACTAACTTTTCTATCTAACCCACTCTCTTCTGGGGCAACTTTAGGGCCTCCATGTGGGGTTTCCACACTTTTGATTAGTGGTGGGTCAACTTCTGTCATCTCGTACTTCCCCTTTGCATATGAAGCGAGGTGAGGGACCTTGGCTTTGACTACGACTATTATGACTGTGATATCTCTGCCATTGTGTTCTACCTCTCTCTTGGGAGGATTCATATTCCCCTCCTCCGACTTCAAGTTTGTCCCTTCTCTCACCTTTAAGGGAGTTGGGTCTATAATTTTTATTTCCACCACTTGCGAAAGCCTGGATCCACCTTATATCTTGGGGTTGATCGATGTTAAGATCAAACAGTCATTTGGTTGTAGCATAGGCCATGGAAAGGTCTCGAACTCTTTGTTTGTAGAGCTTGGTTTTCGCCTATGACTTCAACCCCTCAACAAATCTGTTTGAGACATTACGAATATTTGACATAAGACTAAAAAACTGCTTAATGTAGATTTGGTTATTGCCAATATTCCTCAACTCCCTTAACTTCCTTCTTGCGATTATCTCGACATTCTTTGGGATGAACTGAGAGCGGAGGCCTTGTTTTATGCTCTCCCAAGTGTTTGTAGTACATCGACTATCTTGAATGTCTATGTACTTCGATCTCAACCACAACTTTGCATCATTGGCTAGATGCATTGTTGCCAACGTGAGTGCAACTTTTTTTGCCACGGTATTTGTGGCCAAAAGTACTAGACTACACCCTCAAATTCTCTGAAATCCTTAGACACTTCTAAGACCATATGAACGATCGCTTATTAGTTATTGTATAAGTTCTTAATATATTCTTCCATCGGAGCAACGGAGCCCATCGAACTATCCCATGCTTGAAGCAATTAGCAATTATGGCCTTGTTTTCTAACGCCTCAACCCTAACCATTGATTTACGGACAAGAATTGCCTCTATTCGGCCCGCCATCTCGTCGATTCTATTAGCTTTAGCGACAATCTCATTCATGCGAGATTCCAAAAGCCTTATTCCATTAGAAACTTCACTCAAGTAGAGTAAGTGATCTTCGATCTCTACCAATTAGTTAACTAGGCACTTGCTCAATTATTTTGTAGTTGACATGTTTGTGTACTACGCTTTAAGGAGCAGACTCGACTATGATACCACTTATTACAATCACACTCTTGTGGTAGCAGGACAGCGATCATGCGACACTTGTTCTAACTTGGCGAAAAAGTCAAACGTACGAAAGCTAGACTTTACGGACAACCTTGACGTATGATTGAGTCTTGGGTCATGTTTGAAAGAAATGTTTAGAAAATGTGTGCAAGGAAATATGTTTAAAATAATTTGAAAGAAATTAATGTTATAAGTTAAAAGTGAATAAGCAACAACCCTAGCTTTGATAACATTTAACCAAGGTACAAATAATTGACAACTAGTCAATCCTCCTATAGTACATTTCGAGACATTTTTTGCAATAGCGGGTGTAGACATGATTTTGGAACAGACATGCGTCCATGAACAACATATTCTGGACAAGCATGACTGAGACATCCGACACATAGCCACAGGAAACACACCTTGGACAAGGATGAGCGTGACACATTGTATAACTTAGCATAGCGCATAACATATCAATCATACATATGGCATGTGCGGGACACATGGAACACGTTTTATACCAATGAAAGGGATGGTGGTAGGGTTAGTTTGTAACTCTTTTGTTTCATTTGAGTTGTACACATTCTTACCTTGATCTTATGCAAAATCTCAATAGTAGGCTAGACTATTAGCCCTCATTTACCTACCTCCTCCCAACACAACATAAACTTACACCATTTCCCTTATGATGCTTCAAATAGTGTCATTCCAATGGTTGCCTGGAAACCATTGTTGTAAGCAACTTCATAAAAAGTAGCTTAGAGGCTCAACTATCTACAAAATCCAACACACAAGCGCCTACCAGAGTGCCCAAAGCTTTCTAGAATAAGCAACAAAATGTCGAAAGTAGAATAAGCGACAAAATGTCGACAGTGCGAAGACTTAGGTAAGAGCCTCATATCACACTATATATACTCTACTACGTTCCTCTTCATACTACGTCACCAGAGTCGAAATGTAGGTTGGACTGTGAGTCGAGCCATCTCTTTTGTCTCATGTTCACTTCCTTTTAGGTAATGAAATACTTCAAAATCTTGTGGTTAATGTAGATCTGAGTATTTTTTCTATACAAATCGTGCCCACAAATTTCAAACTCAGAACAACTCCAACAACCCTAACCAATGGGTTGAGCAAACCTCCAACCACTTTGTTGCCCCCATATGGGTTACAAGCTCACATTACGAAGCTCGACGATATGCTTTTCACAATGGCTACTTTATGAAGACTACATCCAATTTTAAATCTATCAATGTGAGATTGTTGTAGATGAAAAACCTATCAATCTCACTTCTTCAAACATTTTGAAAAAAAAAAAGGTATGTATGAGGACTACCCAGAGGTTAATATCGAGCCTAGGAGAACTGGCCTGCTATCCTTCCACCGACAGGAGCGAAAGGTTACGCTGCTCTGTGAAGCCAGCCTCACGCGGTTTCCTCCAACCTCTAAAGACAATAGACACTGGGCCTTCGACCAAAGCCCATGACCCAACTCCCTCCTTGGAATGGACACGCCAGAGAACAACTCCAACAACCCTAACCAATGGGTTGAGCCAACCTCCAACCACTTTGTTGCCCCCATATGGGTTACAAGCTCACATTACCAAGCTCAGCGATATGCTTTTCCCAATGGCTACTTTATGAAGACTACATCCAATTTTAAATCTATCAATGTGGGATTGTTGTAGATGAAAAACCTATCAATCTCACTTCTTCAAACATTTTGAAAAAAAAAAAAAAAAGGTATGTGAGGACTACCCAGAAGATAATATCGGGCCTAGAAGAACTGGCATGCTGTCCTTCCACCGATAGGAGCGGAAAATTAAGCTGCTCTGTGAAGCTAGCCTCACGTGGTTTCCTCCAACTCTAAAGACAATGGACACTGGCCTTCGACCAAAGCCCATGAACCAACTCCCTCCTTGGAATGGACAGGCCAGAGAACGGTTGAGCCAACCTCCAACCATTTTGTTGCCCCCATATGGGTTACAAGCTCACACTACATCTAATTTCAAATCTGTCAATGCGGGATTATTGGAGATGAAAAACCTATCGAACATCTAAAAAAAAGAAAAAAGTGTAATGTCAGGCTGAGGACTACCCAGAGGTTAATATCGAGCCTAGGAGAACTGGCCTGCTATCCTTCCACCGACAGGAGCGGAAGGTTACGCTGCTCTGTGAAGCCAGCCTCACGCGGTTTCCTCCAACCTCTAAAGACAATAGACACTGGGCCTTCGACCAAAGCCCATGACCCAACTCCCTCCTTGGAATGGACAGGCCAGAGAACAACTCCAACAACCCTAACCAATGGGTTGAGCCAACCTCCAACCACTTTGTTGCCCCCATATGGGTTACAAGCTCACATTACCAAGCTCGGCGATATGCTTTTCCCAATGGCTACTTTATGAAGACTACATCCAATTTTAAATCTATCAATGTGGGATTGTTGTAGATGAAAAACCTATCAATCTCACTTCTTCAAACATTTTGAAAAAAAAAAAAAAAAGGTATGTGAGGACTACCCAGAAGATAATATCGGGCCTAGAAGAACTGGCATGCTGTCCTTCCACCGATAGGAGCGGAAAATTAAGCTGCTCTGTGAAGCTAGCCTCACGTGGTTTCCTCCAACTCTAAAGACAATGGACACTGGCCTTCGACCAAAGCCCATGAACCAACTCCCTCCTTGGAATGGACAGGCCAGAGAACGGTTGAGCCAACCTCCAACCACTTTGTTGCCCCCATATGGGTTACAAGCTCACACTACATCTAATTTCAAATCTGTCAATGCGGGATTATTGGAGATGAAAAACCTATCGAACATCTAAAAAAAAGAAAAAAGTGTAATGTCAGGCTGAGGACTACCCAGAGGTTAATATCGAGCCTAGGAGAACTGGCCTGCTATCCTTCCACCGACAGGAGCGGAAGGTTACGCTGCTCTGTGAAGCCAGCCTCACGCGGTTTCCTCCAACCTCTAAAGACAATAGACACTGGGCCTTCGACCAAAGCCCATGACCCAACTCCCTCCTTGGAATGGACAGGCCAGAGAACAACTCCAACAACCCTAACCAATGGGTTGAGCCAACCTCCAACCACTTTGTTGCCCCCATATGGGTTACAAGCTCACATTACCAAGCTCGGCGATATGCTTTTCCCAATGGCTACTTTATGAAGACTACATCCAATTTTAAATCTATCAATGTGGGATTGTTGTAGATGAAAAACCTATCAATCTCACTTCTTCAAACATTTTGAAAAAAAAA